AGCCCTTTCCTTCAGCCAGTTCCCACCACCCAGTGGTCCAGTCAGCAATTCCTAGGCTTGGCTATGAGGATGCCATGGGAGACCATGTCAGAAGCTTTGCTGAAGCTGAGGTAGACCACACCCACTGCCTTCCCCTCATCTGTCCATCTGGTGATACCATCATAAAAAGCTCTCCGAGGGGTCAGGCATGAGTTCACCTTGGTGAATCCATGCTGACTACTCAGGATAAGCTTCCTTTCCCCAACATGCTTTGAGATGGCACCATTTCTCACGTGCTACTGAAAAATGACACCTCCTTGTTCTTATCACTTGAAATCTAGTGAACCAAAGTTTTCTTTCCTTCCTTCTGAAAGGTCTGTAGAAATGCTCAACGTGTCTAGTTTCAAACCAGCAGTTCCACGAATATTAGTATTTAACTTTCAGCATGGAAGAAACTATTTCTCTATTTCTTCCCCTCAAAACTGAGTTTTATTTTCTCCTGGGCTTCCAGATCAGTGCACATTTCGGTTTAGAACCAGCTTGGAAGATCTGAGTTTAATGAGAACCTTCCTGAGAAAATGAAACCCTAGCCCTGAAAAAAACAGAGCGAGAAAGATGTTGAACTCCACTGTAGCCTCACTGGGCGTTCCTGAAGGCAGGCAAGACATATACAGAGGGCCTGATGTCTGCCAGGGGAAATCCTTAAGCACAGTGTGTGGGGAAATTTAGGACAGATTAATATGGCCAAAACTGCTTTGGATTTTTTCCCTCCTCATTGAGCAAAACCTGACATGGTTCTAGGTGCTCAGGAGCCAGAATGCAATATCCCTTTCCATTCACAGCAGAACCACCTTACTGCAGCTGCAGCACAGTGGAACACAGTAACTGAATCCCAGGAATACAGCATGAATCGCAACTCAAACTGATGTGTGGGGCCTCAGTCCTATCTTATGGGGCACATTAAAATCCCAGGAGCCATGATCTTTCCTTCACCTCACCCAGCTAGCAGCTGGATTTACATTTATATTATTCTCCCATGCTCTATCAAGTTCCAAGTGATATCATTAACCTTAGCAAGGAACCGGAGACTGGATTCGACACTTGTGCCACAAATGCCTGAGGAGTAGAGAAAATACAATCCTGCACAGCAGCAAGCCAGCCAGGAAAAGGGAGATGCTGTTCTCTAAAACAAAAGCCCTGTCAGCTAACGGGCATTGTAGCTCTACATCCATCTATCCAGGAGCTGCTTTTGGGCTGTTCTTTTGAATTCACCTATTTTGGCGGCAGACTAACCTAGCAAGAATCAGAATTTTAGCCTCAGAAAAGGTGCAAATTTCCCTGAAAGTTAACAATATGAGTTACCGAGCTGCCCAGACTCAAGGCCTAAATCCTGAAGATCTCTAACCCCAGACCAACAGGGGTTTGAAGACTAATACTTTTAAAGGCCTTAGGCTGAGAGCGCGACAGTCCCTTTCAGCACCCAGCAGCACAACAATCCCCCGCTAGCCCTGACCGTGCCGTCATGCCTTTGTCTGAGGTGTACAGGAGCCCAGACCCACCAGCACCTCACTGCCGCTAGCGAGCCCTCCCTCTGAGCAGGGCGAGGTGGCCGGACACACGTCCGTGGGTGCAACCATACCGCCCTCGGCTACTTTGGCTGGTACTAGCTCTGGGGCTTCTCTGGCATGGGCCACCACAAGGTGAAGATAACGCTTCAAGTGACTGCTCAGCGGGCAGTCAGGGAATGGTGGCAACCAAAGCTGTAACTGATGGAGAAGAAACTGAGCCAGCACATAAATAAACGTGAGCTGTTGTGGCCCTCAGCACTAACCCCGCCGGCCACCCCGGCCTTGTGAACTGGCCAGGAACACACCCACCACAATGTCTGCAGGTTTGTCTTGAGACCAAGAACTCAAGGAACTACCTACTGGTTTTCTTTCCAGGTGGTTTGAATGAGTCAGCTACACACAGGTGAAATGAAAACTGTCTGCTCCTGAAAGTAAAACCTGAAATGCAATTTGAAAACCAAAGCAACACCTTCCTCCTTTTACCCAAGTTCGCTGTGGAAACTTTTTCCTGTTTTCTTTCATGGGCTCCACATCTGTGTAAGAGAAATTCGTTAGTTAGCTCTTTGACTTTTGTAGGGATAAAAAGGGCGTTCTTACCTGCAGCCGCTTGGTAGCTTGGCCCAAGGACCTTTCTACAGCTTTAATGCCATTCTCCAGTCTCAGACTTTGCTGGCCCTGAATATCGATTTCACCTTTCACCTTCTCGATCTTTTCCTTGACCTCTTCTTCATTCACCTGGGACTCTTGAACCTCCCGCTGCAGCTTCTCCGCCTCGAGGCCGGTCTCCATGCCGTGGATCTGAGACACGTAGTCCTTCAGCTTGCTCTCGCACTCCAGGATCCTCTGCCTCATCTCCTGCAGCTGCTCCTTCAGCTGCTTCTCGTTCTCCTGTTCGATCTGCAGCTCGTTCTCCCAGAACTCTTCCTCTTCGATCTCCACTTCGTTCCTTTTGATCTTCTGCTCTAGCTTGAGGATTTCTTCTTCCAGGCTGGAGTTATACTTCTGTTCCCAGTAGCGGATCTCGGCCTCGTTGGACTCCAGCTGTTTCTCGATGCACTGAAGCTTCTCCGTCTGGAGGTGGATCAATTTCTTCAGCTCCTCCGCCGTCGTCTTACAGTTGTTGATCACCTTTTGCTTGAACTCGGACTCCTTGCTTTTCCCGAAGATGTCCATCAGCCCCTTGGCCCCGCCGGTGAAGGTGAGGGACTTCCGTTTGGGCTCCCTCCTCTTCATGGACTTGTCGCCGGGAGGCCGCAGCTTGGCCAGGGGCGGCAAGCTCTGCCGGTACAGCGTCCGCTCGGG